CTGTTTTGCCTTCCTGAGTTCCGATTATAACCCACTTCTCGTTTTATGAATTCCCACCGTAAATTACGCCCACACAGCCGAGCTTAACTTATTTTCCATTTCCCCAATCTAGCACCTCTCACTGCCTGGGAATCTGGATTCATAAATGTTGGTGGTTTGCAGCTACTGCTTGCTTGTGGTATAATCGATGTGGGAATGTTCATGGTGACACGTTTGTCACACGTTGCTCATGTATGGCCGGATACCTATGAAAAGCTGACGATCAGCGACAACATATTTTTCCGAAATCAAGTAAGCCTTCTCCTGAATCTTGAGAAAGCACTGCAAAACGCTCAACAATGACTGGCATTGTCATGCAAACCATCGTTGTTGCCGCTTTGAAAAAAATTTTATCATTCGCAAAAATCGTTGTTCTCACATCTCTAACCATTTAATACTCGAACTGTCGAAGTCCAGTACAAATTTCTACGACCATATGTGGACAAGTGCGGTTCTCCCAAAATTTCAGCTTTCAAACTTCTTTGAGATAAAAAGCCAGCCTGAACAATTGAATTTCATATTAATAATTGCTCCGAAACGCAAGGTGCGGGGTCCTTCGATCCGAAGCTGCATATTTCCAGTCCTGAATGATGAAGGATTTTAAAAACAAATTTGCAAGTAGCTTCAGCTAAAATAGTAACATGTAACAGCGAGTTGTAATTCAGATCTTAACTCGTACCTCCTTTAATGCGAAAAGTCGTCAGCAAAGGCACCCTGTAGACATTTTTTTGGTGTTTTTCGCAACTCAGTACTGTTAAAAACTTCTACGCGATCAACTCCTGACATAAGTTATATGGAGAACATCGTTGATATGAAGCATGCTTCAAATAGAAATACGTTTTCCAGTTGAGTAAGAAGATAATAAGCACGTGTATGGAGGCCATCAACAGTCTTTGGATGCTATTAGGGCAGGTTTAATGGCATGAAATCTGTTTTCTAACCTTCATGTTTCTTGTCCTGTGGTCGCACTTCCACATAAAGTTATAGAAGCAACCGCATTTAATGAATAAGTTCATGAATCCGAATTTTTCCTTCTACCTTTTATACGTAAGTCAGACTAAGAATCATTCTAAAGCGCTTCAGAAGGCGTTAAGCTCGTTCAACAACAGACCACGTGGATTAGCATGTAGCTAAAAAGTACAGCACTCCAGTTTTCAAACACGCTACGGTGCAGATGAGCAGCGTGAGCAAAGCCAATTCTTGCACAAAAATGGGGGAAAAACGTTTTTTTTTTTTTTTTAGATTATATCAGTCCGGAGACTATATGCACCAGTGGCTATTGCTATTGGCCTAATGATATTGTTTCCGAAATTAATACTCCTGCTCCGGATCTTCTTCGCGAAAGTATCGTTCTGGAGGGCAGCAACCGCTGATATGCTTATCGGATTGGTCACAATGTTTTATACTTCCATCACTGGTTTGTTTCTAAATTTTACACATTTTATCAG